CTAGGGCTTGGCGAGCTCCGGGAGGTGATGGCTCAACTTCAGTATAAGACATCTAACAGAACTTGCTTTTACTGCTAAACTGTGAATTAGTTATCTGCTTGTTTTTAAGTGTGATGACTGCTCAGCAAGCACCAAATAAGCATTAAGCACAGGCAACGAACTTTTTGTATTTAATCACAAACACAGAGCTGGCCTTGGATAGCTAGAACATGCCTTTTATTTGAATCTTCAAATAATTAACAGGAGGTTTCCACATACTTGATTTTATTTCGAAACATACGACAACATAAAACAGATGTCCTGCCTCAAAGAGGTTAGTCACCTTCCGTGAGTTTTTGACATCTTAAGTGTCCTAAAAAAAACGGACTGTTCCGCTGTGGCTCCAATTAGCCAATGTTTCTCTGTTCCTGAAGAAGCTACTGTTTGGACAGAAGACTTCTGCCTATAGTAGGATTCCCCAGGGTGTGCGTGGTAGGTAGAGAGATTAAAGTTGACCAGCTGCTGGCTTGTTCTTTCTTGAAGATAAAATTGCTAATACATGACAATACTTGCAAGTTGCTTTATCCTGTGAGCTCTTGGCTATATTTATACTTCAGCTGAAGGTAAAACTGCAGCTCTTGTTGACAGCTGAAATACAGCAGCTGTCCCCAAAACTGCCCAGGCTCCTGACCTAATTTCAGTCAAGTCTTTCGCTCTTAAACCCCTGCTGCTGTACTCTCAGGGGGCATTTCTATATGAAAGGTACCATAGGTATCTTGCCTTGATCCTAGTCAGCAATGAGAGTGCTTATCCCACTGGTTACAGACTTTTGAGATGTCTTCACAAAATTTAGGAACAATATATTGTGATATTGTCATCCTAAGTCCATTTGTCACACACTTGCTACTGGTGCCTTTGGTTTACCATTGCTGATTTTGTCCCATCATACCAAGAGTTTTTCCAAGAAAATCACGCAATTCTCTCAAAGTAAAATAAGCACTATTTTTGCAGGGTTTTTACTCTGCAGTAGTACTAGGACAATCTGATCTCTGCAGAGTAATTACACGTGAGGGTACAGGTTGTTATTCTACAGGGCAGTCTGTTCTACAAAGCCTATCCAGTGGATCTGCAATGGTACAGCTGGAACAACACACTCTGAAGATGGAGTTTACATATCAAATGCCAGTGAAAGCTAAGCCACCATCCCTACGGAGTGGTGTGAACAGCGTGAGCCAGCCCACGGACTTGCTTTTTTTGAGTACAGGACTGGTCTTGTGCTAATGATGCTTAGATTGAGGTTTAGTTAAGATGTTTCATTTGTTAGAAGATGGCATGAGCTGGCACTTTTGAGCACTAGTATAAAAATACATTTAAAAACCTTGTACATCTCAAAATACAGAAAAGCCAAACCCGCTGACCCTTAAAAGAAAATATTTCTTTACCCGTTTGGAAATGGTGTAAGGTGTAGGAATCTTGGAAAAGGTGAACTTGCACAAGGAATACACCTGTGTTGTAAAAGAAGAAGCTGGTCACACATTCATCTTGCACTTTTCATATGAAATCATGCTGTTAAAAAAAGCAGAACTGCCTACACATAATTTTTTAGATGCTTGTTAACTACCTGTATTACTCCTCAGACAACCCCATCTGAAACTCAAAATCCAGACTAGTGCTGGGACTAATGAGACTTAGTTCTACTTAGTTTTTATTTTAAAAAAAATGAAATTGAAACAAACTGCATTTTACTTTTTTCAGTGACAAAACCAGACATCTAGCACTGATCTCTGCCTGTACACAGATATTAATTTCTTATTCTAGGAAATAAAAGTATTTTTCAGCTGAATTAATTAATGAAATTTCATTAATAAAACCACACACCATGTTGTCTTAATTACAATGAAAAGAATATTATCAAGCACTTCATCCAGTGGTTCTGCTCCATCATTCAGAGCATCCCTCCTCCAAATAACAATATCAAACCAAAAGTACACTGGTTGATAAAACTTGCAATAAAGGACACTTTATAGTTTAATTGCTTACACTCATTATGAAATCAAGGCTACATACCCTGATGGTGTAATGGATAGTGTTCTGTTTCTCATACTGGGACACCACTAAGGTAAACGTATGGGGCCCTGGAGAGGTCAGCTTTATCTTGGTTAGATAATGAGGACTGTTGATCCGAATACCATCAATATACGGAGGAGGATCAGCTGAAAAAGAAAAGGATGAACACTTTCCCAGATGAAAAAAATCCCTCAGCTTGGTAAACTTCTTAGCCATTTTATATCAGTGAATTTTGCCAGGCAAGTTAACCTAAGGTTAGACTGTAGGCAAACTTGAGTGCTCTCAAAAGATCAGAGCCTCAAGATTTAATCATAAAAAGGACAGGTAATCTGAAGAGCAACTGTTATTTTCAGGAGAGGTACATCATGCATGGCAGGACACAAATTCTGCAAGTACTGCTTATCCATCTCCCACCAATGTCACTATTCACAGGAGACCTACTGTGATTATATTGATATTTAAAGAAAAAGGTAAGGAATGTTTGAGCACTCTTTAAAAATCCCTTAAAAGTCTGTTCCTTCTCCATTGGCTGGGCAGTTCCAGAATGCGAGCTGCCAAAATCTTTGGCCACTGTGTAAACATGACTTTAAAATATGTTAATTTCTTTAACTAACTGACACACACTCCTTCTCTCTCTCTCCAAATCCTTGTGGTCATTACACAGATGTAGTACCAATGCACATGTGGGACTTACTATAAACATCCCAAATATTTGCTTTTACAATTAGACCGTGTAATTTGTTATTTGGCCTCTAATTTGTTCTTTCCAAACTTCTTTTAATTTCAGCAATGCAGGAACAAGTCTAGCCAATTACTTCAATAAGCCCAGGATCAGGTCCTTTGATTTTCTTTCATAAAGCAACATGGGAGAGGGGAAAGCATTAATATAAAACAATGAGAAGCTTAGGAATGAGAAATCCTGGCCTCAAGGATTAAGCTGCTTTGTACTGGTTTTATTTTAACAGATGGTAAAAATAATACTGCAGCTTGACCAATCTATTTCCATGGAGAAAGTTTTAAACCAGTTTGAGCTTGTGAGATTAAAGTTTATAAAAGAGTTTGGGTAGCGAGACAAAAGATATGACTCAACCAGTTCTTGCTGTACTGCTACAAGTACAAGAAACACCAGAATCATGTATTGGACTGTAAGGAGAAGCAGATGCTTTAACAGGATCAGTTCTTGCAAAACCAGCTGATGATTTGGTCAGGTCTCAACAAATGCTTTCTGCAGAAAGACAGCTCGGATCCTAGGAGAATTAGTCAGCAGAGTTCACTGAACAAGACCAGAGGTGAACAATGCAACCCTTACCAGCCACTCCAGTAGAAAAAGCCTCACAAATTCCAGTCTTTGTTGAAAAGAGCTTTAAAAGCTTCTCTCTATTAACTGGTGCTATCACCTGTTGCATGAGCAGCTACCTGAAGGCAACCTTGGTTCTACAGAGGTTCCCTATCTGTAAAAGCCCCGTCTCAAGGTGAGTGGAACGTGACCTATAATGACCAAGAGTAATACTCTGAGAAAATTTTAACATCTAACTATTTCTCCTAAACATTCCATCCCTGATACTTCGAAATATGTTGAAGTGTTCAGCTGTATCTCATGAGATTTCTCAGGTACTTTACTACACCAACTTCACAGAACAATTAACATGGATTCTCGTCATTTAGTGGAAGCTGTAAACCTTTAAGTAATTGCACAAACGTGGGAAATAATTATGCTATCAGATGAACAGAAGCACACCACCTGTTCCCTCTAAGCAGTAAGTAATGCCACTGCAAAATAAGCGCAACAATAAAGAAAACACTGTGTCAAAATAAGTGTCAGCAGGACTACGTAGACCTCTTAGCGTGCTTCCAACATATACAGCTCGGTTTATTCCTTCAGTGTAGACCACTGAATGTGGTCAAACAGAGCTAAACAACTGTTTCAGAGGACTGACATCTTAGAGTGAGGCATCTAGGTTTAAAGCAAAAAGTGCCTTTCCTCTTCACAAAATCCTTTGCAATTCTTCATTGGCTGGATGGTCGCACTCAAAGAGTTGTGGTCAATGGCTCAATGTCCAAGTGGAGACCAGTGACAAGTGGTGTTCCGCAGGGGTCGGTACTGGGACTAGTGTTTTTAGTGACATGGACAGTGGGATGGAGTGCACCCTCAGCAAGTTTGCTGATGACACCAAGCTGTGTGGTGTGGGGACACGCTGGAGGGAAGGGATGCCATCCAGAGGGACCTGGACAGGCTGGGGAGGTGGGCCCATGCCAACCTCATAGAATTTAACAAGGCCAAGTGCAAGGTGCTGCACATGGGTCAAGGCAATTCCAAGCACAAATACAGGCTGGGCGGAGAATGGATAGAGAGCAGCCCTGAGGAGAAGGACTTGGGAGTATTGGTTGAATGAGAAGCTGAACATGAGCAAGCAATGAACACCTGCAGCCCAGAAAGCCAACTGTATCCTGGGCTGCATCAAAAGAAGCATCAGAAGCAGGTTGAAGGAGGTGATTCTCCCCCTCTGCTCTGCTCTCGTGAGACCCCACCTGGAGTGCTGTGTTCAGATGTGGGGCCCCCAACATAAAAAAGACCTGGTCCTGTTGGAGAGAGTCCAGAGGAGAGCCATGAAGATGGTCAGAGGGCTGGAGCACCTCCCCAGTGAGGACAGGCTGAGAGAGTTGGGGTTGTTCAGCCTGGAGAAGAGAAGGCTCCGGGGAGACCTTAGAGCAGCCTTCCAGTACCTGAAGGGGGCTACAGGAGAGATGGGGAGGCACTCTGTATCAGGGAGTGGAGTGAGAGGACAACGGGTAACGGGTATAAGCTTTCTATGATTCATTTATTTCTAACATAATCTTCTTGACAATTAAGGTACACTAACCTGGATAGTAAACTTTTTTGCCATCAGTCTTGTATACAACCATTGTAATGAATTCCTGATTGTGTGCAAAGTCATCCTACAAAAAACACAAATCAAGTAGAGTTGTACACTTCTGTGGAACGTAACTAATGCGTAAGCAGAATCAAGTACACATTCTATCATCCCTTTCAATCACCATATGGTATGATCTGATATTTGTATTTACTACGATACCTGATCCAATTCTTTTAAAAAATACCTGAAATAATAAATAAACTGCCATAAATTTCACTTGCAACAGTTCAGAGTTAGTTCATTACCTTTATGGTGGAGAGTATAATCACCTAACTCAAATTTTTACTCTGGTTCTATTTCAAAAATCTTGTGATCAAGTATGTGTACCTGCTGAATTTAAAATCTGTACATATTCGTAGGTGTAGATACTTGGACATGAAAATATAAGCAGTAATATAACAACAACAAAGAAAGCTAAACAAAAAGGTTTCCAGAAGATGTTATAGAACTCACAGAAAATGTAAGAAAAAGGACATGGCACCTTATCTGTGATGTGCCTGCTAAGAAGAATCCAGACGGCAGCACCACCCTGCGGACACTGGACCTCCAGCTTGTACTGAGGGTTATTAGCCAGGCTGTAGGCATCCTTCACAGGGCCTTGCTTTGCATCCCAGGTACTAAACATAATACAGACACATTATTAGATGAGTAAAATACTAATTTGTGCTTTGAAACCTAACTCCAAATCCTACATCTATACAGAGCTATCTATGATCAGTAACAAAGTGACTGAAGGCTACTTTTCAACTGGAACCCATGGCAGTGGTTACATAATACATTAGTGTCAAAAGCATTATCTTACAATTTTGTTTTAGAAATGACTTTACTGCAAGTGTGATAATAAAAAATGCTAAATACAAATGGATTGGCTGTTTGGTATGGTGACTGCAACCACACAAACCCCAGAAAAAGCTGAGCCATTCAGGGAGCCCAGGCTAGCCAGTTATTGTGATGATTACACACATCCCATTTATTACTCAGGGAAAAACACCTGTGGTTTTGTAACTGCAAGACTCCATAGGTAAGCTATGGTTAGCTCCAAAAGCTTGCCAAGTTTTTTCCTCCAGTTTTTTATTCAGATAATTTTTATTTTAAGATTTGATCTGTTTTATGTTTGGAAGTGTGCTTGCATGAGGCATTTAAAATAAATTAAAAAAAATCTTTGAGGTACCCTGTTACAAACTGCCTGCTGCCTCATAAACTGTCTAGACAATAAGGTAGGAAAAAACAAAAAGTGCTGATGACTGAATATACAGCATGACACACTGGGAACAGCCATGGATAAAGCTATTTGTAAGTCCCATTGACCCTCCCACACTTTTAAAATGGAACAGCATGTGTGGAAGGCTTAACTATCAACTAAGCTTCACATTATCACCACCATGACTCCACTTTTTATGGCAATTCCCACTGTGCTACGCATTTCCCTAAACAGAAGTATGACAACCACTAATAATATATGGAAAGACAGACTAGTAGATGAGCTTTGAGATTAGCATACACGTTACTTCATGTTGCGACACCACCACAGTGTATTTTAGAACTAATTTGAGCACAAAGATGGAAGAAGACTTGACAGATAAACTCAGCAGTTGCACTATGGATGAAGGAGCTTGTGCAGAGCTAGCACACGCAGAAACAGTGTGGAAGCAGTAGCAAAGTGCAGTATAGGGGAGTGGAAAAATAGAGAAACCTGTGCTTTCAGAAACTGAGAGAGACGCTTATCCTCAAACTGGGTGACCAAAGACTGAATGTGATGGAAACTAGGTAGGAGACAGGTATCACATTCAGAAAAAAAAAAAAAAAAAAATCAACAGGCAAGGAAGATTACTTACGATAAATATGACTGGTGAAAAAATTAAATTAGTGACATCAGTGAACACACACTATAAAGCCAACACACACTGCACAAATTACTTGCCACTGCCCCAGAAAATGAATTGCAAATAAAAGCTAGGTCACTCAAGCACTGTCTGGTCACTGCTTAAAGTCAGACTGAACAAAAATCTGATTTGGATTCTGATAGATGTGGGACTGAGGTCAGAATTTGGTTACACAACCTTAGGTCCACAGCAAGGTCACTGGAGTTTCAACGGATGTTACACAAGTAGTCAAAACACAAAGCCTGAGCTCAGAATTTAAAAGTGTAAAGTCAGGCTCAAGAGGGGGCATGGCTGGAGTCCAGCCTCTTCATCCGTAACTAGGAAGAATGTAAGGAAGCAAACACCACATCAGAACACTGAGTCAGATATCGACACAAAAGTTTCTCTTGAACCAACCTGTGAATACACGTGGATTCTTTAAAGAGGCTTGGGTTCCAACTCAAATAAATAACATCATAGTACTGGCACAGGTCCTCCCAGGCAATCCAGAAAATGCCTGAAAAGGAAATGCTGTTATTGTTCCCTTACCAGATACTTTCATTTTACGTGTTTTTCAAAAGTCTCTTTCCAGGCAAATGATATACCAACATTTGATAAACCAACATTTCCATAAAACTTAGTAGTAACGCCTGCACTGGCCAGATTTCTAAATTGAAACTGAACCCCCCAAAACAAACAAGTTAAACCAAAAAAATCAAGTTAGTCTGTGCTTATCATCAGGGACTTTCTGAAGCTGTCAAGATGCTTTCTATCCTCAAACACTAAGCTGAAAGCATGAGAGATTCTGTTGTATTGAAAGAGACATCATTAATTATTGACCTGCCTTCCCCTTTCCTAGGTTTCTGGAAATAAGTAAATAAATAAAAATTTACATAGTCAAACAGGTTGCCCCAGTTCAACAACCTACTTCAGCAGTCATTCAGCACAATCAAGTATTGAATCACCATGGGAGTAATTCGCATGTATTTCTAAGGTACTTCATTCAACATCTGTGTAACTTGCTTTAGCACCCTGAATCTGCTTCATCTTTACAAAATTCTCATGCATTTATTCTAATTCTCCATAGCTCCCTTAATTGCAACTCTAGCCAACAATAATGCCTGCAAGCTGACAGATTCCTGATGAACTATCAAAAGGGTAACAGCCTTATATTTCAAGTCTCTGACACAGGTAGTTGCAGATCTTGCAGCACTCAGAAAAAACACAGTCAGAATAACTACACGTTTAGACAACAGGGCCAGAAAGTAAATCTAGTCTAAAAACTACTCCCTTAAAATTCTCAATGGAATTTTATATAAATTTTAAGCACTAGATATTACAGATATAAATTCCTTACTGAATGAATCAGTAAATAAATAATGAGCTATACCCTTATAACTGTCACAAAGCCAGGGCTGCTATTCTTATATTTAAATACATTTTTCTTATATATTTGCATGAGGCTCATCATTAAATGCTATAATTTAACAGTTTTGGATGCATACTGTTGTCAAAATAAAGCAGGAGTGAACAAAAGGGCTCCCTCCCAGAGATAAACAAACAATTAGGACACTATAAAAAGAGCAGGCGTCTCTTTCTGAATGTAGAATGCAGCTTCTGCAGAATTTCTAAACTGTCAGCAGCCTGCCCCTCCACCAGCAAACACCCACTGACTTTCCAGATGCTAAGGAAGATGGGACAGGACAATGATGGGTTGTCCGAGTGGTTTCTCTGGACAGTAGTAAAAAGCACATATTAAAAAGCAGCATCACACAGCTTATTGTCAGAATGTTAACTTTCCACTGAACTCCCCCATGCCCAGATACTAATAGCAGCACTTAAGCAAAGAGATAATTTATTGTCAATGAATTTGATATATATTAAACAGTCCAGGTTACTTAAACTCCAGACAAACCCAAAATGATGAATTTAAATACACAAAAAAAACCCACCTCCTAAAATTTTGGGCTATTTACTTTCTATTATTTGTTTTATTCTCTCTCTCCTTGTGCTTAAGCATTTCTTTCCACCTTCCTGCAGGGATGCACCACAAAGATCTATGTTATCTGAAAAGACAGTAACTTTTTAAACCTTATTACCATTGTCTATTTTCTGAGCTGTTCTGGGATCAAAGTTCAAGTATTTTTGTAAATCTGGGGTCCAATTTCTTGTGTCATTTTCACTGTATCGTCCCTTCCAACGTAAGTGGCTCCAGGGATTTTTCAACTGCAGAAATCGAAGTCCCTAAAGAAATAAACAAAATTGCTGGATTCATCTTGTCAAGGTAATTTTTATATTTATATTAACATGGAATATGGACCATAGCTCAAGAAAATATAGCACCATTAAACTTTCTGGAATTTCCCAATGGAGCTCAAGACAAAAGAAACTACATAAGCCATTAGAGCAGAAAATCAGTAGCTACCCATTGCAGACAGGTTTCAAACAGGCATCTGAAAACATCTTCAGTTTTACTTTATACCTTATATTCTCTTATATCCAAGACTGCATACGCATGGGTTGGAACTAAACCCCATTTTTCTCCTTCCTCTTCAGACATCACCCCTGTTGCTGCTGTGATAAGGACATCGCCCTTGTGAAATCTGTTCAAAAAGAGGCGCAAAGTAGCTTAATAAAAATTTCACATGTTACAAACTAACATTTGCCAGACACTGCAATAATATGTTTTTGCATTGTCCATTAGTGTGACCCTACTTCATAAAAACTGGAATACTCTTTTTTTTTGTAAGCATAAATCACTCCCGAAAAAGCTTGAGAAAGTGTAACCGTTGTCTGTATTTAGATATAGGCTTTAAAAGAAAATTTATTCTTTTCATTTAAAATAAAAATCAGCTTTTATCAACCTGAAGTTCAATCTGTGTCCCTTATTAAAGATACTCTACACAGATCTTCAGCTGAACACAAATGTGGTTTCATCAACAGTTGGGCAATCACGGCACATAACAAATTAACTACTCTGTCACACGCCCAGGATTCTGAAGAAGCTTCCCAAAACCCGAAGAATTAAAAGTTCTGATAGACTTTTGCTGTTCCTCCAGGAGATTTACTGATGGGGCATAATAACCAAGATCCTGTGATACAACTAGAAATACTACATTATATTTGGCATTGATCTGCTGTCCTTAGCAAGCAAAGATCTGGGGAACTGTGTGGGAACACAGAACACATTTCCTTCTACTTTTTAAAACACTTTTAACTTGTCTATTGGTTCCAAACTGCTCTTGTGTTACTCTATATTTTATTTTCTTCATCAAGAAATGGGTTACTATTTTTTCTTCTTTAAATATAAAGAAGAAAAAATCACCTGAAACAATATTCCACAATGTTTTACCCTTCTGTTCTGTCAAAGCCACCAATACCTCAATTTTTCATCTTCCAGAAAGCACATGAGGGTTTTATAAAGCACAATTCGTAGTGGTACCAAAATGCTATCAAAAGATCTGTGGTGACTGTACTGCTTTTACAGTGCTAATACAGCTACTACACAGCAAGCATTTTCATTACTTCGGAAAGAACAAACTTCTACCTCTGATAAAGCATTCTGAAAGTACTATCTTTATTGAAAGCTTGATTGTCAGAGTGCATAGCAATTCTTTCAGGTATCCAACCAGTCAGTGCATGGAGATCAATATTCTGAAATGCAAGCATTCAAAATAAATCAGAATAGATAATCCATCTATAAGCATACAATGTCTGTACACAAATTATAAAAGCGCCTTGAAATAAATCAAGTATACACAAGTTACAATATAGCTCTACATGTAAAAGGCTCAATATTAAGACTACATTAAAAAACCCCCAAAAAACAAAACTTGATTTGATTACTTTGGGAGAACATTTCCAAATAGCCTCTCCCTCTAACAAACAAACAAACAACAACCAAAAACCTGGAAAATGAACTGATGAAAAAAATTGTAATTTCAGAGCAATGGAAACATAACAATGACCAATCGTGCTCAGTTCTAGGATGCATCCTATTTATTTCATTGATTCACAGACTTTTAAAGCACAGTCTCAGAAGCAGTATTTGGAACCTTGCTATTATAGATGCATTTTAAATAATTTAAGTTTTACTTCTAAGGCTTGGAGTTTGGGTTTTTATTCTTTTTAGTAAAGCTGACACTGACATGTATTTCCATAAAAAGAGGCTTTAATCTCCCCACTTCATCTCCTTGAAATATTGCTTATTCCCTTTTCTTTTGCTTTGTACTCCTCAAAGCAAAAGCAGAGACTATAAATGCTTGAAGCGTCAATAACCAGCACCGGTGGGTGGAAACTCAAGGAATTACAAGTGCAACACAGCCAGTAAGTAACCCCGATTATACAAGGAAGCTATAATACAGCCAAAAGCAGAGAGGGAGGGAAAGGTGGAGATTAAATGTCACAAGTCAATTTGTTTTTCCCAGAGAGCAAGTTAATAATAAACTACAGCTATTCTCACCAGCGTCTGTCATCCAAAACAAACATAAACACTGACATAAACATACATAAAAACTTAGGTTACATTTAACCTTTACACAAAGCCACATTTGTCTCCATAATCATTTTTCAAAAGGAGATGATTACCTAGTATACCCTCCAAGAATGCAATTATCAAGACAGCAACTATAATGTGAACAGCATTGTGACATAAAAAACATACTGTTAAAATTTTAAAGCATTTTAAATTAAAATAATTAAATTAAATTTTAAATTAAAATGCTTCCTAAGTAACAATTGAAGATTATGTGGGCTACTCATTTCAGCAAACTGTCTCTCTTTGAAAGAATAATTTGCATGTCAGTTTAGAAGTATGATGATTGTTTCCTTAGTAACCACATTATAGGAACCCATTACATAACGATGTAAATGAGTGGAACAATCTGATAGATTTTCACACATCAGAGTACTGGCTCTCTCTATATACATGTACTAAATGACTAGCCTGTTCCTTTCCTAGCTGCCTCCCCTACCTAATGAGGGAGAACTGCCCTATTTACTGAACAGTTAGAAACCAAAATCAGGAGTATTGATATGGGCAAAAAAAATATATATATTACTTCACCCAACATTCTCATCTAGACTTGTCCTGGTTTCGGCTAGTACTTACAGAATTTGATCCAGGAAAATCATATCCTCCCATGACCTTCATGTAAGCCTTTTCTATTAGCGATACCCATAATTCATTCTTATTGTTAGAATAGGAGCAGAGAAGTTCCCCACTATGATCAACTGGCAACTGGTCATCTATGATTACCTACGTGAAATAAAGAAAGGAAAAATCATCATAAAGCTAATAAAGTATGGTGGAAGTATTTCAAAAATAAAACCAAACTCTCATTGATATACAGCTTTTCAGGCACCACCAGACTTGACCATCTTTCTTACCTTTAGACACCTCTATCAATCCTGTAGTGGTTTGCCCAAGCGAACAAGAAATTCTGTTGGCACTTCTTACCTGCACTGGTCTACTGGGTGACCTGTGATCACCTACCTTGCTTTCCCCTACGTAAAAGGGGGATGATGACAGTATGCTCTTGTAAAGTGTCTAATATCTATTGTAAAAGGTAGCCACAGAAAAGTTCAGTGTAATTACTAGCATAAAAAGTGAAGAAAAGCCTAACAATATTCCTCACCTAATTAAGAAACAGCACGGACTGTGCTTGGTAGCAAGAAGAAAAATAAACAGCTATTTATCTATAACGAAACAAACTATGTGTCATATCACTTTCACAGTCTCTAGCTCTCAGATTCAAATTTCTCCTCTCTGGAAAGAAAAAACAACCCAAAGCAGCAGTTGTAAAAGTATTAATATTTCTTCTTTAAATTAGGTAGAATATATTCGGCATTATTACAGATTTTTACTGCACTACTTGTTGTGGTCTGAAACAGTGTCCCAGAACAGACGTTTCAGTTTCACGTCGGCATTAGTCTGTTACCAGTACAGGCTACCACCACAGCACATTTTCAGGTCAGATCCTATCCGTGCAGGAACGAATAATTTTTTTCATAGAAGAGCAAATGGCCACTCATCCTAAGAAAACGCAGCCAACAGGAAATATTTTGGAAAGAGTATTAAGAGCAGCAAGCACTGAAATGATACTTCTCTGAAACATTCAGATTCGGGAATTTTGCAACTCAAGAACTTCCTGACCCAGAGGTTATAACTTAGCAATTTGAGGACTCACCCACTACTCCACCGTCCTGTGAACATGAGTACTCAACTTTTGAACTCCCATAGTGACTCACTGGTCACTATGATCTGCAATAATCAGTGCTACAGTTAAGTATTATGTGAGGAAATATATCACTTTATGCCCTTATTTATTGCTCTGAAAAGAAAATGAAGTTGTGAGTTTACAAAGTTCTATCCTATAGCTTCAGGTATCTCCTTATTAAAAATCTGTGGTCATTTAAGGTATTCCTCTATGATCACTCTTCCTGGAGGTCCCGCTTTGTACATTTCAGTTCTGTAACTTTCTGTAGTGGGCCTGTGTGTCAGGGTTTTGGTAGTGAGGGGAGGTGCTACAGGGGTGGTCCCTGTGAGAAGCTGCTAGGAGCTTCCCAGCTCCAAGGCAGACCTGCCTCTGGCCAAGACTGAGCCAACCAGCAGTGGTGGTAGCGCCTCTGTGATAACATATTTAAGAGGGAAAAAAGAAAAACACTGTGAACCTGCAGTGGAAAGGACCAGGATGTGAGAGAAACAACTACACAGACACTAAGGTCAGTGAAGAAAGGAGGAGGAGGAGCAGCACCGGAGCAGAGATTCCCCTGCGCCCATGGTGAGATGGCAGCTGTGCCCCTGCAGCCCATGGAGGGTAACAGTGGAGCAGAGATCCACCTGCAGCCCATGGAGGACCCCACGCCGGAGCAGGTGGATGAGCCCAAAGGAGGCCATGACTCCGTGGGAAGCCGGCACCAGAGCAGTCTGTTCCCAAGGGAGTGCACCCCATGGAAGGGACCCACGCTGGAGCAGTTTGTAAAGAATTGCAGCCTGTTGGAAGGACTCAGGTTGGAGAAGTGCATTACTTGCACACCCTATTCATAAATATGGGATGCATAATTTTGTTCTCATACAGCTTTCATAATTCTTCTAAGCAAGATAAGATTTTTTTAAATGAATTTCATGTCAGTAAGGCTATTTTCATTAATGTCTACCTATATTCTGTCACTTCACAACCAAATAAATCTCAAAAGGTTTAACAATTAAAAGCCACTTCCCAACAAAACGTATCTAAACTCTTTGCTATGCAAGCATACCTTCACAGTGAAGCACACCAAGCCTTTAAAATATATTACTTAAACAGTAACAGTATTAAGTTTCCCCAAAACCATTTACCTTTCTAGGTACACCATTGATATGAAGCTTCACCATGTATTTGCCACATGGATTATATTCTGGCTCTCCTTTCTTATTCTGAGGGTAAATTATACTGTTAGGAAAAAAAAAAAGAAAAAGAAATTATGACATAAATGACTTGGCTGTACATACACTGATAACAATAGAAGTGGGATTAATATAGTCTGTTTCTGGAATTTACACTGAAATATGGAATTTTTAATGAAAGAGCAATTTGAATTTAGTAAAAATGACAATAATGTTTAAACAGTTTTTAATTTTTCAGGCCTTGCTCTTGCTGCAGTTCTCTGCTTAACATAGTAACAAAAAGAACATAAGTAACCTAACTGTTTCTCCAACAGAAGCAAGGCAAAGTACTTTATCTTTTAAACAAATGGTATTTTCATATCTGTAGTATAAATACAGTATTTGCCTGCATGACAAGTCAAACATTTGAAGAAGGGGAGAAGAGTGCAGAACTCGCTGCTCTTGAAAAGAATAGAAGCTCTGTTCTAATGAGTATAGGTTAAAACAAAAAAAATGCAGGAACAACATTCACACACTGGTCTGGCAACGGGCTCCCAGCAGTGTCTGCCAAACCCATGCGAAATTGAATCACAGGTCACCAGTCGAGTGGAACCGAGATAGAGTTGTTAACATTAATTCTACGATGCAATGCAAGATGGACCACCTGTTGCACAGCAGTTGGCACAGCAAAACAGGAAGGTAAGCCAATAAAGCATAATAAGTCAAATTTCTACTACAAACCAAACAAAACCTTCCAAACTATCTATTTCCTCAAAGCACATCTGAAGTAAGACTCCAGTGTCTGTATACGTATCTACACGAAGCTGGCTTCCCTCTCAAAGTGCTGAAGCCACATGAGTCCCAGGGAGATGAAGGTGAAACAAATGCAAGTTTTTACTGTGTCCAACTACCAGAACACATTGCAAAAGCTTGGCAGTATGAAGTCTGAAAAGATCTTATAAAGCAACGGCTACTTACCTTGTGATCAATTTTTTGTTATATCTTCTTTCATATGCTGCACTGATAGCTAGCGATGCCACAAAGGAACAATCTGATACTATTGTCTATAAAGAAAAGAAAACTAGTGAGGACTTCTATGAAAAACTTAGATACTGAAAGACAAACAGGGTGTGTGGAGAGAAGGACGTGCATCCCAGGGTCCTGAAGGAGCTGGTGGTTGCCGAGCCGCTCTCCATCATGTTTGAGAAGTCGTGGCTGTCGGGTGAGGTCCCGGATGACTGGAGGAAGGGTCACATCACTCCCATATACAAGAGGGGGAGCAGGGAGGACCCGGGGGGCTACAGGCCAGTGGGTCTCGCCTCCGTGCCTGGGAGGATCATGGAACAGGGCTACAGGCCAGTGGGTCTCGCCTCCGTGCCTGGGAGGATCATGGAACAG